TGTGTATATACACACACACACACATATATATATATGTACTAAAGTAAAATAATATATGAAATGAATTTTACAAAGTTGGCACTCCATTTCTCCATATAGGAACATCCAAGGCAGTCGACCACCTTCAGAACTGAGCTGATTAATTTATTGAGCCTGGAAGGCTTAGCTGGAGAAATCAGAGCTTTTTCAGAATGATATTAATAAATAATTTTACTTACTTAAAAGTAAATTAGAAATCAAATTCTATATAGGTTTATCAGGTAGTTGAATCGGACATATCCAAATGTTGCATCTCACTGAAATCTCTGAATCTTCTATCTGTAATTTACCAGTACTAAGTGCGAATAAAGTGAAAAATGGATTTTTCAGTATTGTTACAATAATATCAATGATGAATAAAATGTGAAAAGGATTTGCTAATTTGAAAGTAATCCTTAGGTCTGTTTCTCTTAAGTATTTTTTTTTTTTTAATTTTTTTCAACATTTATTTATTTTTGCGACAGAGAGAGACAGAGCAGAGCATGAACAGGAGGGGCAGAGAGGGGAGACACAGAATCGTCAGGCTCAGGCTCCGAGCCATCAGCCCAGAGCCTGACGCGGGCTCGAACTCCCGGACCGCGAGATCGTGACCTGGCTGAAGTCAGACGCTTAACCAACTGCGCCACCCAGGCGCCCTCTCTTAAGCTTATTTTTTAAAGGAAATGACCTGTCCAAAATTTATGGATTCAAAATGATATTCAAAATGGATTAAAATCCTAAGTAGTCCTAAAACCATAAAATCCTAGAAGAAAGCAAAGGCAATAATTTCTTTGATATTGGCCACTGAAAGACTTTTTCTAGATGTGTCTCCTTTGGCAAGAGAAGTAAAAGCAACAGTAAACTATTGGGACTACACCAAAATCAAAAAGCTTCCATGCAGCAAAAAAAAAAAACCAACAACAAAGCAAAAAGGTAATATACTGAATGGGAGAAGATATTTGTAAATGATATATACATTAAGGTGTTAATACCCAAAATATATAAAGAACTTATACAACTCAGCTTGAAAACAAATAACCCAATTAAAAAATGGGCAGATGACCTGAATAGTCACTTTTCCAAAGAAAATTACAGATGGCCAATAGACACATGAAAGATGCTCAACATCATTAACCATTTGGGGAATGCAAATGAGAAACCCTGTGAGAATGGCTAAATTAAAACACACACACACACACACACACACACACACACACACACACACACACACAAGAAACAAGTGTTGGCTAGGGTGTGGAGAAAAAAATAAATACTCATCACTGTTGGTGGGAATGCAAAGCCCACAACTACTCTGGAAAACATTAGGGAGACTCAAAAAAATTAAAATAGAATTACCATATTATCCAAGAATTACACTAATGGGAATTTACCCAAAGAAAATAGAAACAATAATTTGAAAGATACATGCACCTATGTTTATTGCAGCCTTACTTACAACAGCCAATAATATGGAAGCAGCCCAAGTGTCCGATGACAGACGAATGGATCAAGATGTGGTGTGCACACATGTGCACGCCTACACACACACACACACACACACACACACAGAGGAATGTTACTCAACCATAAAAAGAATAATGAAATCTTTGCCTTTGCAACAACATGGGTGGACTTAGAATAATGCTAAGTGAAATAGGTTCATCGGAGAAGAACAAATATCATATGACTTCACTCTATGTGGAATAAGAAATTTAAACAAAACAAATGAACATAGGAAAAAGGACAAACAGACTCTTAAATATGGAGAACAAACTGGTGGTCACCAGAGGGAGGTGGGGGGATGGGGAAACAGGAAAAGGGGATTAAGAGTACATTTATCCTGATGAGCATTGAGTAATATAGAATTGTTGAATTACTGTATTGTACGCCTGAAACTAATAGAATACTCACTGTATGTTAATTATAATCGAACAAAAAGTAAAACTTATATATATATGTACTAAAGTAAAATAATATATGAAATGAATTTTACAAAGTTGGCACTCCATTTCTCCATATAGGAACATCCAAGGCAGTCGACCACCTTCAGAACTGAGCTGATTAATTTATTGAGCCTGGAAGGCTTAGCTGGAGAAATCAGAGCTTTTTCAGAATGATATTAATAAATAATTTTACTTACTTAAAAGTAAATTAGAAATCAAATTCTATATAGGTTTATCATAGTTGAATCGGACATATCCAAATGTTACAGAAATCTCACTGAATCTTCTATCTGTAATTTACCAGTACTAAGTGCGAATAAAGTGAAAAAAAATGGATTTTTCAGTATTGTTACAATAATATCAATGATGAATAAAATGTGAAAAGGATTTGCTAATTTGAAAGTAATCCTTAGGTCTGTTTCTCTTAAGTATTTTTAAAGGAAATGACTGTCCAAAATTTGTATGGATTCAAAATGGATATTCAAAATGGATTAAAATCCTAAGTGCGAGTCCTAAAACCATAAAAATCCTAGAAGAAAGCAAAGGCAATAATTTCTTTGATATTGGCCACGGAAAGACTTTTCTAGATGTGTCTCCTTTGGCAAGAGAAGTAAAAGCAACAGTAAACTATTGGGACTACACCAAAATCAAAAAGCTTCCATGCAGCAAAAAAAACCAACAACAAAGCAAAAAGGTAATATACTGAATGGGAGAAGATATTTGTAAATGATATATACATTAAGGTGTTAATACCCAAAATATATAAAGAACTTATACAACTCAACCCCAAGAAAACAAATAACCCAATTAAAAAATGGGCAGATGACCTGAATAGTCACTTTTCCAAAGAAAATTACAGATGGCCAATAGACACATGAAAAGATGCTCAACATCATTAACCATTGGGGGAATGCAAATGAGAACCCTGTGAGAATGGCTAAATTAAAACACACACACACACACACACACACACACACACACACACACAAGAAACAAGTGTTGGCGAGGGTGTGGAGAAAAATAAATACTCATCACTGTTGGTGGGAATGCAAACGGGTACAACTACTCTGGAAAACATTAGGGAGATTCCTCAAAAAATTAAAAATAGAATTACCATATTATCCAAGAATTACACTAATGGGAATTTACCCAAAGAAAATAGAAACAATAATTTGAAAAGATACATACACCCCTATGTTTATTGCAGCCTTACTTACAACAGCCAATAATATGGAAGCAGCCCAAGTGTCCGATGACAGACGAATGGATCAAGATGTGGTGTGCACACATGTGCACGCGCACACACACACACACACACACACACACACACACACACACAGAGGAATGTTACTCAACCATAAAAAAGAATGAAATCTTGCCTTTTGCAACAACATGGGTGGACTTAGAATAATGCTAAGTGAAATAGGTTCATCGGAGAAGAACAAATATCATATGACTTCACTCCTATGTGGAATTTAAGAAACAAAACAAATGAACAAAGGAAAAAGCGACAAACAGACTCTTAAATATGGAGAACAAACTGGTGGTCACCAGAGGGAGGTGGGGGGGGGATGGGGAAACAGGAAAAGGGGATTAAGAGTACATTTATCCTGATGAGCATTGAGTAATATATAGAATTGTTGAATTACTGTATTGTACGCCTGAAACTAATAGAATACTCACTGTATGTTAATTATAATCGAACAAAAAGTAAAACTTATATGGATATTTAAGTGTTTTGCCTGAATAATACAAGCAAATTCTTCTCTAACTGGAATACCTTTAGAATTCCAGGCAGGGCAGCTATTTCTGAAAAGTCTTTAATGCCTTTAACCTTGTAAATCCATAGCTCCATTTCAATCCCGCTCCCATGTCAACTAAAGTTCATTTCATTTCACCAAAAACTGTACTCCTACAATGAGCTGAATTGTTTTCAATGACCTGAACTAACTTTTACAAACTCTACTTGTGTCAGGAAGGATTCACTGTTGGCATTTACAGTGGAAACGGTCGTTTACGTTGAGCTCATATCATCTACGGTGGTGATTTCCAAATTCTGTATGATTACCTCCTTCTTTGTGAAAATGCTCTTTGGTTTGCCTTAGAATTATCTGATTCTGTTAAACCAGAAAAAAAAAACAAAAACTCATCACTTGAATCTCTTTCTCCCTGGTAGGCTAACAGCTCTTTTACTGTAAGCACTATGTCTTTTCACATTTTTTTAAAAATTTT